GTTTATATATTTATTATGTTTATATTTTTCTCTGTAGGTTCAGGATAAATAGTGGAAGCATTCTGAAAATGCTATTTTTCTTGCATTAGTATTGAATCTGAAAGACAGAAATCTGGGAAAAAAGATACAACTTGAAGTGCACAGTATGTGTGTTCATATTTCTATAAATATGATAGTCGTTCCTAGCTCTGACATGCTGCAGGGGACTCATCCTATAGGGGACCCAGTAGACCCACTCATGTAAACATGAAGGCAGTATAGTAGCTAGATGCCACCAGGCATTCTGTTGAATCAATAGGGTTGAAATTAATTGGTCAACCTCATATCCAAGAAGTTTCAAATGGATTGGTATGGAAGTAATATACTTAACTGTGATTTCACCTGGGAAAATGGACTTCACTTAAAACACACACTCGCGCAAATTCTCGGCATACTTTCTTTTGTCTATTGTAAGTTTTGTTATGATGCTGTGATATTTTAGTGCTTGTTCCTCCTCACCAGAAAACAAATGTTCTCCTTTATTGTGAGAGACTGAACCAGGCAACAAAGTTTCTCTCCAGGTATCATATACAGAATGAATTTGTCATATTTAAACATACTCAAAACTTCTATCTAATAAAAGTGTCAGTGTTAGTGGAAAGGAGACAGTAGAATTACCATAGTGGAAAGAAGGGGTATGACGAAGAGTTTGTGTCCTGTGGAGATGGGCAAGGTGTGGCAGAAGCTGCAAAGGCAGATCTGGACACGCCTGCTGGTCACAGATCAAATAAGAAGATCAGAAGGAAGAGCTGGAAGAGATGTCAAGTACTGACTTGAAAGCAAGATAGTTAAGATAGTTACAGACATCCTTGGTGGTCCTGGGAGAATGGGGACTGTGTGGGCTCATACTTACATCCTTTTGGAAGCCCCCTTTGAATATTCAGATGGGGTTTGCTGCAGTCCCTTTCTGTTTGACCTAAGATTCCTGTTATTTATGACCCCATTTCCACTTCTCTTGGCTGGATTAATTCCACTGTGGTTATTCCAAAGGGATTCAAATTTCCTTTCTAAAATAAATGCCTGTCCTCCATCAACCTTCTTCTCAGTATCTCCCTCAGTTTAGGAAATTGTATGGCCACAAAGTATGCTGGTCATTGCCTTCTCCTGTCCACCACCCTCTTGTGTGAGAATGTCGTATTGGAAACACTGTTTCTTGTTCCCAACTTCTTCCTCTAGAACAATGCTTTCCTCTGTAATTTTACTTCTTTACTGGAAATGGCCCTTCTGGAGGAGGTCATGTTGTTTGTGCTGTTTGAGGAAGGCAGGGAGAGTGTTTGGTTCTATCCACAGCAGTTAGAGTGTAGTATAGTGTTTCTATATATGGACTGCTATGGTGTTTTGTTATGAAACAGCTTTTGATGCAGGATGACAGCGGTCTTACAGTTTCCAAGTATATTTCATCCTTCTATAAAACTGACAAATCTCTCTGTACCCATAGATTATGTACATACATGTTTTAAAAGCTCAGTTGTACCATCCTGAAATTAAACTGAGAACTGTTAACTTAAGAAAAACCAGTGTTATAGAATCATAGAATAATTAGGGTTGGAAAGGACCTTAAGATCATCTAGTTCCAACCCCCCTGCCATGGGCAGGGACACCTCGCACTAAACCATATCACCCAAGGCCTCGTCCAACCTGGTCTTGAACACTGCCAGGGATGGAGCATTCACAACCTCCCTGGGCAACCCATTCCAGTGCCTCACCACCCTCACAGGAAAGAATTTCCTTCTTATATCCAATCTAAACTTCCCCTGTTTAAGTTTTAACCCATTACCCCTCGTCCTATCACTACAGTCGCTAATGAAGAGTCCCTCCCCAGCATCCCTATAGTCCCCCTTCAGATACTGCAAGGCTGCTATGAGGTCTCCATGCAGCCTTCTCTTCTCCAGGCTGAACAGCCCCAACTTCCTCAGCCTGTCTTCATACGGGAGGTGCTCCAGTCCCCTGATCATCCTCGTGGCCCTTCTCTGGACTTGTTCCAACAGTTCCATGTCCTTTTTATGTTGAGGACACCAGAACTGCACACAATACTCCAGGTGAGGTCTCACAAGAGCAGAGTAGAGGGGCAGGATCACCTCCTTCAACCTGCTGGTCACGCTCCTCTTGATGCAGCCCAGGACACAGTTGGCTTTCTGGGCTGCAAGCACACACTGCCTGCTCATGTTCATGACCAACACCCCCAAGTCCTTCTCTGGAGGCTGCTCTGAATCTCTTCTCTGCCCAAGCTGTAGCTGTGCCTGGGATTGCTCTGACCCAGGTGTAGGACCTTGCACTTGGCATGGTTAAACTTCATGAGATTGGCATCAGCCCACCTCACAAGCGTGTCCAGGTCCCTCTGGATGGCATTCCTTCCCTCCAGGGTATCAACTGAACCACACAGCTTGGTGTCATCGGCAAACTTGCTGAGGGCGCACTCAATCCCACTGTCCATGTCAGCGACAAAGATGTTGAACAAGACCAGTCCCAACACCGATCCCTGAGGGACACCACTCGTTACTGGTCTCCAGCTGGACATTGAGCCATTGACCACAACTCTTTATGTGTGGCCATCCAGCCAGTTCTTTATCCACGGTGTGGTCCATCCATCAAATTGATGTCTCTCCAATTTAGAGGCAAGGATGTTGTGTGGGACAGTGTTGAATGCTTTGCACAAGTCCAGGTAGATGACATCAACTGCTCTACCCCTGTCCATCAGTTCTGTAGCCCCATCATAGAAGGCCACCAAATTGGTCAGGCAGGATTTCCCCTTAGTGAAGCCATGCTGGCTGTCACCAAGCACCTTGTTGATTTTCATGTGCCTTAGCATGCCTTCCAGGAGAATCTGCTCCAAGATTTTGCCAGGCCCAGAGGTGAGACTGACTGGTCTGTAATTCCCCGGGTCATCCATTTTCCCCTTCTTGAAAATGGGGGTTATATTTCCCTTTTTCCAGTCATTGGGAACTTCACCTGACTGCCATGATTTCTCAAATATGATGGCCAGCGGCTTTGCAACTTCATTTGCCAGCTCCTTCAGGACCCGCAGATGGATCTCATCCGGACCCATGGACTTGTGCCCGTTCAGATTTTTAAGATGGTCTCGAACCAGTTCCTCTCCTACAGTGGGCCCAAGGTCTTCATTCTCACAGTCCCTGTGTCTGCCTTCCAAGACTTGGGTGGTTTGGTCAGAGCCTTTGCCAGTGAAGACCAAGGCAAAGAAGTCATTCAGAACCTCAGCCTTCTCCAAATCCTGTGTAGCCACTTCTCCTGAGTGCTTCCTGAGGGGGCCTACATTATCCCTAGCCTGTTTTTTATTTGCTATGTACCTGTAGAATCCCTTCCTGTTATCTTTAATACCTCTAGCTAAGTTTAATTCTAACTGGCCCTTAGCTTTCCTAACCTGGTCCCTAGCTTCTAGGACAACATCCCTGTACTCTTCCCATGCCACCTGTCCTTGATTCCACTTATTATAAGCCTCTTTTTTTCATTTGAATTTTCCTCAGGAGCTCCTTATCCATCCAAGGAGGTCTCCTGGCCCTCCTGCTGCACTTCCTTCTGGTTGGGATGCAACACTCCTGAGCTTGTAGGAGGTGATCCTTGAATATCAACCAACAGTCTTGGGCCCCCCTGCCCTCTAGGGCTGTATCCCATGGAACCTTCCAAAGCAGGTTCCTGAAGAGGCCTCTTCTGCTTCTGTCTTTTACCTTTGGATCTGGATGTCCTGGTTTTGGCTGGGATAGGCTTAATTTTGTTCCTAGTAGCTGGTACAGTGTTGTACTTTTGGATTTAATATAAGAATAATGTTGATAACACATTATTAATTGATGTTTTAGTTGTTGCTGAGTAGTGCTTACTCTAAGTCAAGGACTTTTCAGTCTCTCATGCTCTGCCAGTGAGGAAGGGCACAAGAAGCAGAAGGGAGCAGCCAGGACACTTGACCCAAACTGTCCAAAGGGATATTCCATATCATGGCACGTCATGCCCAGCATATAAACTGGGGGGAGTTGGCTGGGAGCCAGTTGCTGATTGGGCATGGGTTGGGCATGGGTGGTGAGCAATGATATTGTGCTTTCTTGGGTTTTAAGTTTCATTTTTTATTGTCTCCCATTTCATTAGTATTATTATTATTGTAATTATTATTAATAATGATTTTATTTCAATTATTAAACTGTTCTTATCTCAACCCAAAGCTTTCACCTTTTCTTTTTTCTGATTCTTCTCCCTGTCTTACAAGGGAAGTGTGTGGGGAGAGTGAGCAAGTGGCTGTGTGGTACTTAGTTGCTGGCTGGGGGTAAACCATGACACTGGACTGGTCAATTTGGGGGAAAAACAGACAATAAGAAATGTTCTTGTAATTGTCTGGTTAAGACATAGATCTTCCAGAACTGGCATACTTTGTGGCCATGTAATTGGCACTAAAGAAAGGAAGTCAAGCACAGTCAGGCTAAGGTGTAGAAGAGCTCTGCCCAATCTTGGTCCAAATGAACCTGAAATATCAGACTTTCAAAGACTGCTTTTCAAGTGAAGTGTGAGAATGCACTAGTTTCAGAATGTGACAGATTTATAACTATTGCCATTTGTGGCCATTTTATAGATAAGGTTTTTTGGTTTCATTTCTTCATTACATTGCAAAACCAGTGAGATTAGGCAGGGATGAGGAAAAAAGAGATCAAAGCTATAGACAGAACACTGAAAATTTGTGAAACCATTTTACTGGCGGAGGCACAGAAGATTTCTCCAGACTGTGCTCAGAGAAATGTCCAAGCCCTTAAGAGTTTGCTTTTCAAATTCCTCTTTGAGTTTTATGTGGTTTGCTCATCAGTGCCACAGCAATGGGACACGGCATTTCCCAGGGATAATTAAGTACTCCCATAATGTTGCCAGGTGACCTGTAGGTCCCGCAGTAACATTACTCAGACAGAGAGAAATGGGACCTAAAGTCAAAGCCTTTCCTTCAGTCATCTTTTTTTTTCTGTTTTCAGGAAGGCAGCAGATCATGCAGAGCAAGAAGCTTATGAGCCAATGAGGAATTTTGACACAAAATAGTGCATTTTGGAGAAGTGATTTGACCACTCAGGGCTGGAGTCTTGCAAACATTTATTCTGCATGATGTATGTGGTAATTGTGACCCAGAAACAAAGCCATATGCCACAGGGCTCTAAATGTATACTCAATTTTCCATTTTCATCATATAACAATAGCAACAGTAATCTATTTATAGACAATGGCACGACATTTCATAACTGATCAAGATCAGTTCAGAGCATCAGGTCCTGGCTAGGCATTAAAGCTTCAGGAAATATCTCTCTGCTGCATTATCATTGCCTTACTATTTACAGCAACTATCACAACCATTTGTATAAATATTTGCTTTCCTGATACTGGCACCCCGAAGGAGTTCAGGTCAGGATATTGTCTGCATATTGTATAGCATTACAACATGCAAGTATTTAAGTGACTGTGGAAAAGAACAGGAGGCTTCAAATCTGACTGAGAAATGAAGGGGTCTGTCTTGGAGCACCTGCTCTGCACAGTTGGTTTTTATTAAACAATACAACGTGCAACTCTGCAGGAGGTCAGAGCAGATGATCTAATGGGTCTTCCTGCCCTTGAAATATACAAACTACACCACTTTAAAGTTAGTGTCAGAGAAGCCAGTAAAATGAATTTAGGCTTGTCCATTTAGATTATTACAAAAAGGTATTTGGTGGAGCAGTTTCTCTGATCTCTTTTATTTCCAGTTTTGTTATGGTGGGTAGAAGGAGATACTTGGATTCACCTAAGAAGTCTGCATTCCCAAATACAGTGTCGGTGACCAGACACTTCAGCATTGTGATAGGCACCGACTAAACTTTATTCCTACTCAGTTTCACTTCCTGGGTTCTTTCCTTATTAGGCTAAATGATGAGCAAATTGTAAAATAAAAAATGCCCCAACTGTATCAGCACATTGGAATTTAAGAACTCTTCCTCATGTAATGAGCTGAGGAATTACAACACAAAGCACTCCTTTCTCTCAAGCTGACTGATTAACATAATAAAGTTAAACTCAAAGCAGCTTGTTCTCAACTTGTATTCAGCCTGAGGTGTTTTTCTTGTATTTCAGACCTGACAAAGGGCTCATGTGCCTGGAAGCACGTGCCTGCTATTTTCCAGCTATATCATTTGGTATAATTAAAAACCTTACCTCTTCCTACAAACTTCGCCACAGGAATCTACATGGCTAAGCAGGTTTTTTTCCTATGTCATTATTTAAATCTGGCACAATCTTAAACCATTAGAATTATGTATGATTTGCCAAATTTCTGGTGTCACTGACCATTACACCCATAGTTGAAAGTTGGCATCAGTTTCACATATGGAAAATATGCCCTGCAGCCAGATAATACAGGAGCTAGATAAACTTATTTTATGACAAAAAAGATTAAGGGGTGACTTGAGCACTGCCAATAAACAGATGTGAAGGCCCAGACACACAAGCCAGAAGTCTGTAAATATTGAACTGTAGGTTTTTTGTTTTGTTTTCTTACGATTTTTTGATAAAGCAGTTATATGCCAAAGAACGTGGTAAATCTTCCATCACTTGGCATCTATACAGAAGGTTCAGCAACTGCCAAACTGGTTTTGAAGTTTGTGGGCTTGACAGAAACAGCAGTGGAGAAGCTGAAGAGTCCTTGTTCTTCTCTAGGATAGTGTAAATGATCAAAAAAGACCTTCTTTCCTGTTTAAATAAGCTGGGACAGAGCACCTCTGAGAGACAGTGAAAGGCTATTTACACATCAAGGTGAGCTCTGCTCAAGTTGCTCAGTTAGAAGAGACTGCATTGTCTCCCAAGAAGAGCATCCAGCTGACTTGCCCTAAGCCTTTGAAAAGCGGCAAGATGCCAAGTTTACCTACTCATTGTGTGTAAGGCCAACATCAGTCCTGAACTAGGACAAGTTTGGATTGGCCCCGTTGTGGGTGGGCACATTCAAATCTTTGTGTTTCATTAAACTGTGGAGTGTTTGATTTTGTTTGCTTTTCCACCAGGCTGCCTTCCTTAGCAGGACTGTGTGATGTGAAGAATGGGTGTGCCCAAGGACCTGCATAATCCCCTGGTAATTTATGCAGAAGCAGGGGCTGGCTTGTCCATTCCAGTGAGATAAGGGCAGAGCAAAAACTTGACATGGGATTAATGGTCAGCTGAAGGGGGTTGTCCAAGTTGCTTTGCTGTTCCCATGGTGTGGAGAGGTTGCTCAGCAGATCTCTGCTGTGGCAGAAGGGAAATATTTCATAGCAGGATTTCTGACTTTCTGACAGCAATCCAGAAAGTCTGTGCTGTGGGAACATGGAAAAGGAGGGAGCAGAAGGCTTCATTGTGCATATCAATGACTAATGTAGCTCCAGGTGACTACGCTGGTTTCTTCTACTCTGACACAGAAGCCTTTTGCTCAGCTCCTCAGCCTTATGTGTTTGTGGACCCATGTAGATTTTTCCTTGCTATCTAGACTTCTGGATAGCTACTTAAATCTAAAGATAATGGGTATTTCTGCTTAGTTAGGTTTTGTTGATTTCTTAAAAGTCATCCATTGAACCTACTGGTTGTTTTCAAAGCAAAAGTCAAAGCTACATTTCATTAAATGCTATTTTAAAATGCTATGAAAGTGACCTAAAACCCCCTCCTCCTCTAGAGTTCTGTGCTGGAACTCATCTCTGCTGCCTTCTTGCTATCCTACCACTCTTGCCAGCTTTCACTCTTCCTATGCAATATAGCAGAAGCTAGTTTCTGTAAGCTGGCACCTTATCTAAATGACATCAGTAATATCCTATTATCTTAAGGTCTATTCAGGGGTAAAGAGCTGAAATTAAGTTACAACCCAGAAATCTGAAGATTAACTGTAAAGGTTCCTCTGATGCACTGAAGGTCCATGACTCAAGAGTTCTTAAAAGTTATAAGGAATACTCAAAGCCTATAAATTAATTACTGCCAAGAAAATTGCAACACTGAAGTTAATTTCTGGTAGAAACACTTGTTCCTTCTCTAAAAAATAAAAATAAAATTGTAGAGTGTAAAAGAATAATATATGAAATTTTGTTTTTTTTGTTTGTTTGTTTTGTCAAAACATTTTTTTTTTTTTTTAAAGAACACAAACAGTCCTGCTGGGGGTGTTTCTCTTAGGAAATGTAACTTATTGATGTATAAACTTAAATTCACACACCAGTGTTTCCAGTACACCATTTCTGTGGATCATTCTGAGGTCTCCCTTAATAATAGCAGACCCAATAACTATTATTTGCCTAGAGGACTGTAATTGAGAACAGCACCTTCCATTCTCCTGTTTATTTTTCCTCTTCCAGATGTGAGATGAAGCCCTGATCTGACTGACAGATTAAATTACTTTGATCCATATAATATTCAGATAAAACAATCACACATAATTGAAAATATCTGTTCTAATCAAGAGTCTTTGAGAGCAAATTAGTCTTCTCTTCTTCCTGCTTCTTGCTTGTTGAGTTCACTTTCAAGGTATGACAATAAATGTGCCCGAACTCAATCTTTCCTTGTAGCCCTTTCCCAGAAAGGAGTCAAAGAAGAGTTGTTCAAGCCAGGCAGAACACCAAGACATGAAGCATAGTCCAGCCTGTTAGGATGTTTCTTGACTTCATCCCTCGACAGTTTCCATTTAGGCCTCAATGACATCTCCCAGAGGTGAAAGAACCTTCTCTAAATACTTACTAAACTTAGCAGGAGTTAATTTGCCCTGGAATGTATTGATGCATAAAGGTATTTTCTTCTGACTAGTTGTTTATCTTTCTCCCTCCACCTCCCTATTAATTAGTACATTTTAACACTTCTTTTGGAAGACTTGGCTGCATATGGTGTAATTAAAAATCACAAATCCTGGGTGCTGAAGGCATACTAAGATACATTAGTCTTAGAAAAATCTTGCTTGATGTCACTGTAATGCTATGCCAAATTTTGACAAGTTAAAATGACTACAGTACTACTTTAATAGAATGTAACAGTCGATTTATACAGAAATAGGAATGAAAAACTAATCTCCACTGAGATCTTGATAAGTAATTGCATTTACAAAATATATGCAGAATATTGCAATGAGCTTCTTATTGAAAACATTAAGGCTGGTTGGGCTGGTTCTTGATTTTTGGGTTTTGGTTTTGGTTGTTTGGTTTTTTTTTCTCTACAATGGCAAGCACTAATTTAACACCCTGCCTTCAGATATCAAGTTTCATCAAAGTGTTTCTATCCTGGCTAGCATTAGGCAATTAATATTAGTTGACATGAGCATGTAAATAAGGGTACTCATGCACCTGTGTGAGTCTGGATCTTAGTCGCTTATTCTCATTGTCTACAACCACTACTCCTGTTGTCAGTGGCAGATCACACACTGAAGCCTCTGAGAGCTGCACAAAGTCTTGTTTGGTGTGGGTTTTTGGTGGATTTTTGTTTGGTTTTTTCCCTCAGGAAGGCAAAACAAATCTGTGCATATGCTCCCAACCTTATGAACTACTACAAGAGATGGCCTTCCCTAAAAGAGGAAGGATACAAGGGTTATATTTGTTCTTTACTAAGTTTAATAATCTTAATGCTTCAGATGCCTGTTCCCCTGTTTGTGTATGCATTATGAACAGGGAGACTTACTCTAGTGAACCTGAAGGAAGTTAAGAGATGGCGTTGTAGAACTGAGCATGGAGTGCTCAGTTTATCCCTGGTATGACAATTATTGATGTTATCTCCTATATTATATATACAAAAAAAGCTGGAAGTGCAGACAGCCTGACTCAACAGAGAGGTTCCTTCCCCAAAGACCTTTAGAGTGAAAGAAGGTCATGGGACATGCAGGGGAAAGCAAAATATTTTGGGATGACACAAAGTATTTGCTTATCTGGGAACTGTTAGCCGCAGTGAAGGGATGGATGTGAACACCTTGGTTCTTGAGTTCAGGCTAAAAGTAGCAAAATCTTTTTTAGAAGCTGAGTCCAAACTCATTCACAAGAACATCTGCTCTGATCTTCTACATACCTCAGTACTCAAAACAACCATCAAGAATAAAAGCTCCTGTTATGACAACATTCAATTCAACTCTGTTTTGGATAGCTTTTGCATGGAGCTCGGTAGGACTGAATGGAAAGTTCTCCTGATGAATATGCTGACTAGGGTATTGCAAGATGCTACAGCTTTATTAATGTGTAAAGCCAAACACCATAAATTACAAATATTACCATTTATATATGCATAGCCTACACTGCACTGCGAAGTTGCTCATGCAGGTTAGATCAAGAGCCAATTGCTCTGAATATCATTCAATTTTTTATAAATTAGGTCAGATGAGAAAGCTGAGGAAAAAAGTATGTTGAGTGGGGAGTAGACTTGTAGGAAAGAAATAAACACCAGCCCACGGAAAGGGGAGGGGGATCTCCTGCTGGCTACAAGCCCTGAATTTCTATAGGAGTCCTCCAGGCCCAAGGACAAGAAAGAGTCAGCCTAGCTTGACAAACTGGGTGTTAGTGGATACTAGTGACCTAAAGGGGAAAGGACTGTAATGCCGCTCTGGCTTGTGAGTATTCCCCAGGCTATAGCTCCTGCTTTTGTAATTCGCTCTTGTCATTTTTATTTATTGCCAATTGTTCATTTGAACACATCAGCTGCTGTTAGTGACAGGAGAGCCATGCAATGAGAATGCTGGATATGCACCATGGAAATATGTTATACCCATTAGTGTCAGAGAAAGCCGATGAAGGAAACATTTGTACTAATTTTGAGAGAGTGTTTATGCTCTTAAAAATGACTCTGTTAAAATGACACGAAGAGGATACAGGCAGGCACAACCCCCCAGTTATTCTTTCTTCTTGATGTTAGAACAAATTGATTCCATTTACAAGTCAGAGTGAGTGCTCATAGCCTTTGCAGAGAACTATGCTTTGTGAGGTATAGATCGAGCTAAGCCTGGTCTAAGTCAGGTGTCACTGGCAGGGATTGGCACAGTCCAAAGCTGTGTATTCAGATATATGCCAAACTCTGGAGAGGGATAGATCAGCTCTGCTAGTCTCGTATTCTTTGGGACACCTAGAAAAGATGAATTTTCCATGTGATCTAAAAGAAAAACTCACCCCTTTTCCAGCGTGTGTCTTTCTAAATGAAAATATTAACATAATCTCCTGAGTTGCTTGTACAATCCTCCCTAAATACTGATTAGCCAATAACCTTAAGTCTTTCCTCCTAGCCTTCTTGCTTCATTCCTACTTCCTTTGACTCCTGATGAGAGAAAGAAATGATCCATCTCAGTGAAACAGCTGATTCTTTGAGAAAATGGATGGCTGGACAACTCCCTTCAGGGAAGCTGTGGCAGGCAGCCAATGACAGTGTTGTGTTGGAGTTCAG